TGAACCGCGCTCATCTAGCAGCCTGCCTTCTTCAGGTTCCGTTGTCGGAGGCTTTTTTTTCTTGGGTGTTTTTTGTTGCGGCTTTTTTCCCCCCCTCCTTTTTTAAAAACTTTTTTTTGATGCTGCAGAAGGTCGGGAGCAATTGTCCCAAGAGCTGGTCACAAAAGTTGCAGAGAGTATTTTTTTTTAAGCCTTAGGTTTTTTTCCTATTAAAGCAAAGCAAAGCTTGATTAATTTGATGCTGGTACTCTCCTTGTCCTACTTATTATGGCAAACAGTGCCACAATAAAAAAAGCAAGGAGAAGAATTAAGACGCCAGCACAGATTCTGCTTTTTATGGCCAGGCTTTTTTTTTTTTAAGCCTTAGGTTTTTTTCCTATTAAAGCAAAGCAAAGCTTGATTAATTTGATGCTGGTACTCTCCTTGTCCTACTTATTATGGCAAACAGTGCCACAATAAAAAAAGCAAGGAGAAGAATTAAGACGCCAGCACAGATTCTGCTTTTTATGGCCAGGCTTTGGAATACCAGTGGGAACCCTGGGAAGGAGAAAGCCATTTATTTAAGTGAAGACACAAATGCTCTGGTTTTCTATGACTCAACAAAACCCCGCATTTCCAGTGAGGACTGCGTCCTTCTCAGGAGGGATGTGCTGCACTCCAAGCCCCTTTTTACAAATACTCAAGCTAACTGGCTTTGAATGAGCCATGTTTTTGCATAGAAATTGTGGTTTTCATCATCTGAGAGGGAGGGTTATGAATACATCTTTACAAATAAAGCATTCTTAATGAATACTTGCACTGGACTTTTGGAATGGACTTTGGGGATTAGAACATGTTTTTAAGACAGTTCTTGAAGCACAAAGAGGTGAAAAAAGAATGTGTCTGCCTTTTTTTTTTTCTCACTTGTTCACTCAGCAGTCAACAGTGCAAGAGAGCCCTTACTGGATTAACAGCCTGTAGAAAATATTTCTAAAGGTGCTTAAGCATTTTTACTTCATCTGAACTAACCAAAACCATTTATGGTTTTCTCAGAACCACAGCATGATAGTTCTGTATGAAGGTACATAGCACCCTGTTTTATGCTTTGGTGGGGTTGGTGATTTGCTTACTAGACTGCTGTCTGCTCTGAGATGAAGCAGCTGGAATTTTAAGATCTGGCTCAGATTCTCTAAAAGGGATGCAAAAGCATATGAGAACTTCCACTGTAACTGGATCTCTTACTAGTTACTAGGATGTTCTATTCTGTATTCTCAAGTATATGTATTTAATTAGCTGTCAATTAAACCTGTTTTTCAGAGGTTCAGAATGAGCAAATTACTACATTTGAACTGAAAGTTCAGAAGTAGAAAGAAAAGACTAGTCTCACCCTAGTTCCTTAGCTTGAACTGTCAATTTTAATTTAGGCTGCATTTTTTAAAGCCATGCAAAGATGAGGCTATGAATAATTAACACAGCTGATGAAGCAAATATGCATTTATAAGAAGCTTCTTGCCTGATGTAACAAATAATAACGTCCTATTTTTTCACTTCTTTCAGAATGATACAGATCTTGGACCCGAGACCCTTGCCAAGCTCCATTATGCCTGTGGACATGGCCATGAGAATTTGCTTAGCCCATTCTCCACCGCTGAAGAGTTTTCTCGGCCCCCTTGAGGACTGTAAAAGAAATAATTTTGTGAACAGATTCAAACCTCTCAGACCATGTCTTCACGTGAAACGTGACTCTGAAGCTCAGAAGAGTGACTGGAACTCAGCAGCCCGAGCCAAGAAGCGAGTTGTGTTTGCAGACTCAAAAGGGCTGTCCCTGACAGCAATACACATCTTCTCTGAGTCCCAGGAGCAGGCTGGGTGGGATCTTCAGTTTGACCTCTTAGGCCTTGAAAACATAACATCTGGCTTAAAGTTACATGAGGAGAAAAATTTGATTCTGGGTTTCCCTCGGCCCTCAGCTGACTACCTGGATTTCAGGAACCGCCTGCAGAAGAACCTGGTTAGCCTGGAGAACTGCACCCTGCAAGAGAAGGTGCTGTCAGGCACTGTGAAAGTAAAAAATGTGAGCTTTGAAAAAAAGGTTCAGGTTCGAATTACCTTTGATACATGGAAGACCTACACAGATGTTGAGTGTGCATACATGAACAACATCTACAATGATTTTGAAAATGATACCTTCTCGTTTACCATTGACTTGCCTCCTGCCATTCCCTCTGAAGAGAAGATAGAGTTTTGCATTTCTTACCAAAGTGGAGAACATACCTTCTGGGATAATAACGAAGGTCAAAATTACAAGATCCTCCATGCAGAGTGGAAGCCTGATGGTGTTCAGATACCATCTGCCGAGAAAGACTGTGTAGATCTTCAGACTTCAAGGAGAGGACAAGAGAGAGAGCCTGATCAACTAGGCAGTCCGAGGCTGTCCAGTGGTTTCTTTCCACAGTGGCAGAGCTTGGGTTGTATTGAAAATTGCTCACCATATTGGTGATCAGTACTAGCAAGGAAGCATTCTTCCATTTGACAACAGAACAGTGTTAGTTTTCTAGTTCACAGACTACGTGGTGAAACCACCTGCTAGGTTTTGTTGGCTGTCTCAACAAATCCAAATTCACTAGTCCATGGGACTTGTTAAATGATATTATGCTACTGAAGTTCTTAGCCAAAACTTATCCCGGGAAAGAAAGAAAACCAAGATAAAACCCATGTCTGTGCCACCTACTATAGAAATAGCATGCCTGCATTTTAAGTGTATGCTTCTTGCTTCCTGCTGTAGACTCTTCCGAGTCACTAGGTGAGAGACTCTTGTGTGGCAGTATGGAAGGCAATGGTACCTTAGCAAGCTGTAGCAACCGTGTGTGAGAGTGTGTGTGCATAGGGACGTTACATGAACGGAACATCTCGACTCTTTTTGCACCGGTTAGGAGTGCAGTAGAGATGAGGTGATGCTGTGAGGATGGAGGCTTGCTATGACCCTCTGTGTGCTTGTAGCAAAGATGGGTAGGAATGCATAGCTAGGATTTGTGGCTTCAATACAGGTTAAGTGACTTGGAGAGGATAATGAAAATGTTGCAGAAGGGAA